GACTACAGGCAGGATACTATATAAATAAATAAATCTTTAGAAGAAAACCCCAGCTGGACAGTGGTGGCGCATGCCTTTAACCCAGCACTTGGGAGGCAGAGGCAGGTGGATCTCGGTGAGTTTGAGGCCAGCCCCGTCTACAGAGTGAATTCCAGGACAGGCAAGACTATTACACATAGAAACCATTGGAAGGAAGGAAGGAAGGAAGGAAGGAAGGAAGGAAGGAAGGAAGGAAGGAAGGAAGGAAGGTCGGTCGATCAGGTTCTAGGATGGCGTGTTCTGTTTCTCTGCTCGTTGGTCTTCTTCTGTAAACCTATTGCATTGGCACTACAGGGCCACAAGGAACCCTACAACTTGCTTTCTCTTAGGGATTCATAACTGACCCACAGCCCCCCAAATCCAGTTACAGTTATCTGACTATGCCAGCATGCTAAGTTTAATAAATTTCAATACCTTTCAGAGACATTGCCTTTTCCCATCCAGAACCACAGCTTTTGTCTGTTTCCCCCCCCCCCCCCGTGCTGGAGGGTGGCTGGTACCCAAGGGGCTATGGCTTGCTAGCAAGTGTTCTACCACTCAGCAGTACCTAAGGAAGTTCTGACTGTACACTCCCATTGGCTGTCTCTAGGTGGCAGCACAGAGCTAGTTTATGGCTAAACCCTGCCCTCAGCCTTGCTTTCAATCAAGAGGCAAAAGCTGTAGCTGACTTGGTGGGAGCCCTGCAAACATGGTACAGATGAGCCCCCACAAGCGCCTCCTTTGGCTTGGCTGAACACTGACCTGTGAAACGACCTCCCTGCGTCCTCATTTTCCTCCTACACAGACAGGCTCATACAGCGCCAGGAGAGCCTTGAGCCCCTGGCTCGTTCAGAATCAATCCACAAGATCATCTTTCGGTTTCTTTTGTTGCATCACAACTCATCTCACAAACATGGACTCTGTGGGTTTCACTGCCCACCCCAGCCATCAGCTTGGTACCAGTGCTAAATATGGTTGGTGTCCAGAGCTTTTACATAACCAGGGCCTCCATAAACGGCATTTGCCTGAATGCATCAGGGGCACCAAAATAGGTATGATTTCTACAGTCCAGCTGCGACTGGGATTCTGACTGTGATGTTCTAGAGAAGTTAAACACACTCAGTGGGGGGAGGGGAGGCCGTGGTTTATAGCTTACTTGTTTCCATGTTCCCTTTCCCCAGAGTCGAACCTTCTATGGCCTCAGTCACCAGTGGTCAGCTGGAGCCTGCAAACAGCCCTTCAAGAGAGATGGCATTTGCAGAAGGCCTAGTACAGCATACAGCTGTAATTATTAGAATTAGAATTGTTATTAAACTCTTACTGTACCTAACCTATAAATTGAGCTTTCTCATGAGTGTGCATTATAGACAAATACCCAGTCCATGCAGGGTTTGCGATTACCCATGGTTCCCGGCACCCACTGGGGGTCTTGGAACATATCACCCCCATGGATAGGGAGAAATAACAAGTAACTCAACTGTGGCCAATTTTAAGTCACGGTGACGCTGTGATGGAAAAGGAACAGGAAAAAGATGCAACTCCGGTATAAGCTGGCTCTGGCTGTCCTGGTTTGGGGCTATGGCCAGTAGATAAAGGGTGAAGGGGATGGATGTTTTAATATAATCTGTTTGCTTGTGTTGACATCACCCAAGAAGAATGGTCAGCATCAGATGTAACAGGTGCCTAGAGTAATTAAGGGGCTATTCACTCTCAACAACAAGGAAAGTACAGGAGGGAAGTGGAAGGCCCTGAGAACACTTCCTGAAAGCCTGCAACCTCAGCCCAGCAAGGGCTGCATGGCTTCCATCTGCATCCCGACTGAGCATCCCTCTCTTCAGCATGACTTCCGTCTGCATCCTGACTGAGCATCCCTCTCCTCAGCATGGCTTCTGTCAGCATCCCGACTGAGCATCCCTGTCCTCAGCATTGTCCTACCCACCCATCTATCTCCATGCACTGGGCACAAGAGTCAAGACCTAAAGTCTTCCCTGTGTCTGAAGCCAACTGTAGCATCCACTGCTAGTTCAGTTAGTAGCCACAAAGACCCAAAGACCAGCTCCTTGCTAACTGTAGGTGAATGCAAGGCGGTGCACACAACAGGAAGCAGTCAATGTCTTCTCAAGTGAAGTCCTCTAAGTGGTCTTTAGCTCCACCCTCCTTAATTGCGGGAGGCGACTTGAGACACAGTAACTCCTGAACAGACCACTGTAGGACAGATCGGTCCCTGAGTCCTGCTGCTTCCAGCTCCACAAGGAGAGAACCTGGACATGCGGCACCGCTTTGAGGAAGTTTGAAACCATGGCGTTCTGGCCCAGGAACTTAGGTCCCTTCCTAATCCTCCTGCTGGCATGTACTTCACCATCTAAGGCTTTGTTTACCACAGGCAGCGTTGGGTATAGTGCCATCATCCTGCCCTTAGCACATTACAAAAAAAACAGCTACAAAGAATCCAGTCATTCTCATCGGAGGGAGGATGGTGGGGTTGTTTTTAACCCTGTATTCACATACAGCAAGACACAAAACCTTAGCATTTCAGAATGCTGCAGATAAAGAGAATGTCCTAAGACTTCCAGAATAAAGCGATCAGCTCTTCGGCTGGGATCCACATAGCTCAGTGCTAAAGGACTTTCCTAGCATGTTCTGGCCTCAGCACCATTAAAAACCATGACAGCAAAACCACACCAGGACTCATCCAAAGTCTGGACAATCAGAGTGATTCTGCACAGCCCTGTCAAGGAGCCGGTAGCCTCAGCTGGAAGGGATGGCAAAGCCTTCCCCAAGGACCAAGTGTGAGTGTTAGCGTACAGACGATGGCTGCCACAGCTTTGTCCCCTCAGGTGTTTAGAGCCTTCGGACCTGCAGAGACCCTCCAGCTGAGATGAGCGAGGCCCGGCCCCTTGATCCAGCTGTACACCATAAACCCCAACCCCTAATTATCAGTATGTAATAACCCCACCTGCCAGTTCAGCTGTGTGCAGTACCCTCTTCAATCTACATAACAGCACGCTGAGTTTCTAGGGTGCTGGGGTTTCTCACTGAGAACCAGATTGCTCAATCCTAGCTATTTCTCTCTGTGTCTGTCTGTCTGTCTGTCTGCTTCTCTGTCTTGTCTTCATTCCCTCCCCACCTCCCAGTCGGGTCCAAGTCCCTAGAGCCATGCAAGGACATGGGAGGTTACAGAAACTACTATCTGAGCTTAGAGGCAGATCACACAGGCGGTCTTAGGAAATTTGCCTCAAGGTACCATTTCTCAGAAAACTGTGGTCAACACTTGCCCTCTCCCCAAACAAAGGAATAACTTGGGGAAGAAGTGAAAATCGCGAGCAGGACTGTGGGGAGAAGCACAACCCCAGGCTGGTGGTGCAAAGAGACTGCAGGACCTTCAGTGAGCCTAGGAGCACAGCCTAGAGCAGGACATGGGAATCCGGGCAGGTACATCCAGGGGGCGGGGGGTAATGAATATATGAAGAGATCATATGTCCAGGGGTGGGAAGATGGATGTACAGGAGTGATTGCTATTTCTACCATAGGATCTGGGATGAATTATTAATATGATATTTAAAATGAAGTCACAAATCACCCGAGCAAAGGAAGTACGGGGGGGGGGCAAAACCAACAACAACAAAAAACCCCGCCAATCTACTGGACCAAGCGCACACAGACGATGGTGGAGTCGCCAGACTATTGCGGAAGGAGACAGTAGTCATCGGACCCTTTGTGGTTACTGACCTAATAACTGGCTTTTTTCTTTTGGAGGCGCAATCTCTGAATATCCCAGGCTAGACCCAGACCCAAGATCCTCATCCCTTTCCTGCATGCTGGGATCACAGATGTGCACCAGCATCTAGGCCATTTCTAACCCCCTTTCTTCCTGCATTACAGAGGCGGCAGAAGTGATTTCCTCCTTCCTGTATGAAGCGGTCAGTGGTTGGTTGGTGTAGCTCTCACGTTCCTGAGACACAGGTAGAACTCTGGCTGACAGTCCCCCTCCTGTCTCTGTCTTGGATACAAACCGATGCCTCGACACACATGTGAATTCCCAAACCAGTGGCACAGAAAGACAGCCTGAGTTACTAAGGACATAGAGGAGCCATGGTCCCCAAAAGCCTGGTCGTAGCCAGTGAAAACTATTAGGTTTTCTGCTAAAGCTGACAGAAAGATGACTCTTTTAGAATCCTTGGGAACCGCAACCCGGGGTCTTGTGCAAGCAAGGCCAGCATTCTATCACTAACCTATTGCTGTCTGAGACAGGGTCTCGCTAAGTTGCCCAGCCTGGCCTTGAATTCACTCTGTACTCCAGGTAGGCCTTGAGCTCGACCCTTCTGCCTCAACCTCCTGAGAAGCTGGGATTACAAGCCTGCATCATTGGCCCAGAAATACAAAAAAAAAAAAAAAAGATACATGGTGCAAGAAAGCCAAACACTCTACTGGAAATATTTAGACCACATCTAAAAATATTTAAATCAAGAAATAATAAAAGCATGCTATTCATTTACAAACATGATGGTGTAGACCTGAAAAAAAAATAGCTAACATGATTTAGAATGGATACCAGCGAGACCTGGAAACGGGATGGACTGTTTTTACTGTATGACTTGTAATGGGATTTCTCAACACCAGTACTGCTGACATTTTAGACCCGATAACTCTTTGTTTTGGCAGGGTCTGAAGAATTGTTTAGCCATTCCTGGCCAGCAATCCCACCTCTTCCTGAGTTGTGACAACCAAAAATGTTTCTGACCATTGCCAAACCTTTCACGGCAAAATGGGCTTTTCTTCACCTCTGTACTGCTTCGTTTTTTAATTTTAGTAGTTAAGTATGCGTATTAGACAACACCCGAGCTGTGGATAAGACGCGGTCCGAGAGTGTGATACTGCAAATGGCTGGTGTCGTCTCTCCTTGCAAGCACACACTTCTCTCCTGGGCCTGCACCCCACTCCTTTCCTCTCAGAAAGACCCGGATCACGACTGAGACACTCACCCCCAAGGTACGCACACTCGTAGTAGCTGCAGGTCCTATTTATGCTCTGGAGAAGAAGGTTATTGCTGGCTCCTTCCTGCGACACTTGAAAAACCTCACTCAGAGGTATTAAAACAACTCCTCCTCTTTTCTTCTCAAAAAATCTTCCCACGTCAACCCCATAGCAGGTGTAGATGGTTAGCAATGGTTCGTTGCCAGCTGTCGGGGGTTTGGCTGAATAAGCCAGTGTGAAGTTGCCCAGCCGGGCTTGGGTTTGCTCTTCGAGTATGGAAGTGTCTGGGCGTGTGAGGTACACCACCTCTTTGTAGCTGTCCTCACAAGGTCTTCTCAGCATCTGCAGGGCTCTTACCAGGTAAAAATGAAAGGCCTTGAAGGGAAAGTCATAGATGTAGTCTTTCCGGGACTGGCCCATCAGCGTCACAGCCCTGTTGAACTCGTGGTAAAAGGGGGTCTGTGCTTGAGCCTCCGTTACGAACGCCGTCAGGGCTATTCCGTGGGGATCCTTGAAGTTCATGGGGGGCGAGATCTGAGCCTTCCGAGATTTCCACAGGACCTCTGCATTACCCCACACAGTCTCCAGGAGCGCATGGCTTGCCCTCTCCTCCTTGAGCAGCTGCGGAACATATTTAATTTCCATCCTGGTGCTGCACTTCAGGTATTCGTCGTCAAATGAATCCTCCGCCATGTCTAACAGTTCCGCCTTCACCTTCAAAGCAAAAGGGAAGGAACACTCTTGAAATCGAATTTCATTTGATATCACTCTCTCATCCCCTTTTAACTATGAAGTATATCCCATTGCTATGGGTATTTCTCTCGACTCTGACATGCACTTCCAGCCCCAAGTAAAAGCAGGTACCCAAGGCCCAGCAATCCCAAAACCCTCTCCAAAATCCCACCTCTTTCCCTTTAAAACTGTGAGCCCCAGGCTACTGCAGGTGCAGGTTTAGGAACTCCACCAGCCACTCCTGTAATCCCATGGGGGATAAAGAAAGTTAAGGGCACTTAGAAGGGGAACGAGGATGTAAGGCCAAGATTGTCAACTGTCTACTTGATCCCTTTGTTTGGATGCCCAAAGACCCGTCATCCATGTCTAAGACCAAATAGTACTGCCTAGAACCATTAAATGAACCATCTGTTCATATGGCCATTTGTGGACACGTCCGTCTCAGGCACCCCTAGGGCTGTCTTCTCTCCCGGCCTCACAAGCATCCCCTTTCTGTGTGCTGGCACTAAATGCTCCCTATGAATTACCTTGCGTGATGCTTACAGGAACCCTTGGGACGGGTACTATCACTAACACCCTTTTATTTTATTTTAAAAGTTTATTTTTAGTTTATGAGCATTAGTGTTTTGTGTGTGTGCATGAAGTCATCACAGAGTGCCTGTGCCCGAGGAGATCAGATCAGTGTAACTAGAGTACAAGTGGTTCGTGAGTCCTGCAGGTGCTGGCAACCCATCCCAGGTTCTCTCAGGTGCTCGTGGCCACCCATCTCTCCGGCCCCAAGCCTGCCTTCCACCCTTTTCTTTAAAGAGAAGGAAACTAAGATACTGAGACATGGTGTTGGTATTTGACCCCAGACACTCTGGTTCCAGAGTTCTACCTTCTTAACCAAAATGTTCTGTTGCTTCTAAAACGTTAGAATGTTCCAATGATGAGGCCCACATGTAACACCTTTAAAAGAGTCCAGTTTTGCTAAACAAAAGAAAACATTTTCCAAAGAGATAACTAAGTGGGCCGGCTCCGGACACAGTTCCTGGCCATGGTACTTCCAGCTGGGTGTCACTGAGACGCTCATGCTCCCGGGTCTGTCCGTCAGTTTCTTGAGCTTCAGCGATCAAGTCCCTTGGGTCTCACAGCTAAGAAATGCACTTTGCTCTGTAGCACAGAGTGTACCAGAGTTCAGCCTGAGTTCCAAAGCGTGATCTATCTTGAAGACGGAAACATAAGACATCAGACTGGAGACTGCCTCCCACATTCCTCACGCCACATCAGGGTTGATCCAATATGTCCCTGTCTTTTCCCGAGGCCTCAGGGCAGTCTTGACATGTCTAATTTTAGACAGCAAGCCTTTCTGGCCAGACACCAGAGCTGATTGTGTGTTCTGAACAGTGCGTGCCTTGCGGTGGGCAAAGCTCCTAAATGCCATCACCATTCAGGACAAATGAATGGACACGGAGGGGCAGGTACGTAGGGAAGGCGAGCAGAGCGAGCTGATAATGTTTTCTTCCTCTGACAGAGCCACCTAAACAAAAGCTCATGGCGAGGAACTTCAACTACCAGAAGTTCATTTTAAATATGTGGAGATGACCTTGGTGGTTTGGAAAAGAAGCCAGTTATATGGGAAAACATTAAGACATATTAATATGATGTGCGGCAAGCCAGTACTTGAAAGGCAAATTAAAGCCGCACAAGGCACCGCGTCCTGCCCACCTGAAAGGAAATAACGACAAAACAATCCAAGGGCAGAGCAGGAAAATGAGAAGCAAACACGAGGTGGCTGAGTTAGCGGGGAAGGTGCTGCAGAGAACTTCAAGGACTTGAACAGGAAGTTATGCTAACCCAGCGACCCTACTCTACATATATACCCATGAAACTATGTTCAAAATAATGTGCGATTCTGTCATTCAGTATAGCACAGCCTGGCTAATCCACGTTCACTTACATAGGTAAAACTAGGTATTCATGTAAATACTACATAAGGCTAGCAACAGTGCTTGTATGAGTCCCCAGAGAATAAATATAGAGGAGAATTGGAAACATTTATACAGAAACGCATACACAGAAATTCTTGGCAATTCTATTCATAGTCAGCATAAAGTCACCGGCTGCCCGAGAAGAGGGGAGGAGGGCAGGGAACTGACTTCCCAGGAGCAAAGTGCTTCTCTCGAGAGGGGTGACGAGCTATGTCACCCCAGTTACTGCTAGACAACATCGCAGAGACACTAAAAACCACTAAAGAGTGGGGCTTAAAACGTTTTTAAGGGGATCTCAATTATATATCTGTCTTAGTTAGGGTTTCCCTTGCTGTGAAGAGACGCCATGACCACAGTGACTCTTATAAAGGAAAACATTTATTTGAGGTGGTGGGCTTGCAGTTTCAGAGGTTTAGTCCATTATCATCATGGCAGCGTGAAGGCAGACATGGTGCTGGAGAAGGAGCTGCTACAGGTTGATATGCGGGCAACAGGAAGTAGACTGTCTCACTGGGTGTGGCTTGAGCATATATGAATCCTCTAAACCCACCTCCACCGTGACATACTCTCCCTAACAGGACCACACCTACTCCAACAAGGCCACACCTCCCATTAGTGCCACTCCGTTTGGGGGCCATTTTCTTTCAAAGCACTACATTCTACTCCCTGACCTCCAAAGGCTTGTAGTCATATAATACAAAATGCATTCAGTCCAACTTCAAAAGATCCCAAAGTCTATAACAGTTTCAAACTTATTTAAAAGTCTAAAATTCAAAGTCTCTTCTGAGATTCATGCAATCCCTTTAACTGTAAGCCCCTATTAAAATCGAAATAAAACAGATCACATACTTCCAATGTACAATGACACAGGATATGCATTACTGCTCCAAAGCACAGGGAAGGGAGCACAGGGATGAGATACTGGACCAAGGCAAGACCAAAACCAGCTGTGCAAACTCCAGACTCTGCGTCTCCAAGTCTGATGTCAAAACAATTTCACATCTCCAACTCCTTCCAGCTCTGTTGACCACACCACACTTCTTCCTCCTGGGCTGGTTCCACTCCCTGTTAGCAGCTCTCCTTGGCAGGTATCCCATGATTCTGGTATCTCCAACATCTTGGGTTCTCCAAGGCAATCTAGGTTCCAACTTCATAGTTTCATGGAATGGCCTTTCTAGGCTTCCATTCAAAGACTCCCCTGACACATGCCTGGCCTTGGTGGCTTTTCTTAGTCAGGGAGGAAGGTTCCATAATGCCTTTCTTCTATCCTTGACTCTAAAGCCAGAACCACATGGCTGAAGCTGCCAAGCTCTGCTGTTTGCTGGGGCTAAAACACAGTCCCCTCATTCAATTACATCTTCACCAGCTTTCTGCCCTTCACCGCCTGGCTTAGGGTCATATTCCTTCAGACAAAAGCATGCTCAGGCCTTTCACAGCAATATTCTAGTCTCTGGTACGAACCTCTGTCTTAGGGTTTCTGTTGCTGTGAAGAGACACCATGACCATGGCACCTCTTATAAAGGAAAACATTTAACTGAGGTGGTAGTTTACAAGTTTCAGAGGTTTAGTCCATTATCATCATGGCAGAGTGCAGGAAGACATGGTGCTGGAGAAGGAGCTGCTACAGGTTGATATGCAGCCAACAGGAAGTAGACTCACTGGGTGTGGCTCGAGCATACATGAGACTCCTAAACCTGCCTTCAATGACACACTTCCTCCAACAAGACCACACCTACTCCAACAAGGCCACATCTGCTAATGGTGCCATCCCATTTGGGGGCTATTTTCTTCCAAACCAGCACAATGCCTCAAGTTAAAGAGCAAGCAACAGACTGCGCAGGCCGCAGAACATGCAATAATGCTCTAGAGAGTGGGCCAAAGCTCTAAAAATCGATACAGTTTTTAAATTTAAGGTATCTTTAAAAAGGCATGTGAGATGCCTGTCTCATACAATACATAAAGTATATTAGCTTTTAAACATTGAATAGCAAATAAAATCAGAAGATTTCGATAGGTAAGGCGACAAGTGAACAGTCATTATGTAGTCTAATAGCAAACATGGAATCAAACACTGTGGCATTATTTGGAGCACACACGATATTTCCAGAATATTTGTTGACATGGAAATGCACTGCACTATGACTCAAAGGCAAGGTTAAAGTATGATGTTCAGTATTAATCTACGTTTTAAACAAATTGTACACACAGAGACCAGAGTCATGTAAGCTATCTCCACTACCCCCTATGAGTCTCTCCCTATGAGTGGGGGAGCTTATGGTTAAATTTTTTCTGTTCTCTTGGTTTATTTTAATTTCTTAACTTTCTACACTTAACGTATGTATGTATCACCTGCAAAACGAAGGGGAAACTACTCACAAGCTAATTTGCCTAGTGGCTTCTCTCAGTGCAGATTCCTCGGGCAATGTTACAGGCTCCCATCCCAGCGAGCGCATTCCCAGCATTACCTGGAAGACGTCCATTAGAGTCATGGCTGCCAGCAGGGTAGTGACCATTTCAAAATGTCCCATCTTCATTTTTCTCTTCTAAATGAGAATGAGAATTTTAACTCAGTTAGCAGAGAGGTTTAGGGGGGAAAGAGCGAAAGAACATGCTGTGTACATTTTCATGTGGGCAGTCATTCTGATCATAGGAAAGATTATTGAGGACATTCCTGTGGCTGTGAGAGCCATTCGATTTTATCTAGAGGTCCAATAAAGCCTTAGGGAACTTCGGTGCTTCCACCTCTACGCAACTCTAGACACGCCTTTCCCACCAGAGTCGCCCCTGGGCACAAGTCTTCCCGACTCTAAATCTCCCCTGAGCATGCACAGGAAACTACACACTAAAACTACCACACTCTCTAACCGCTCCCCTAACCCCCAGTTTCTGAGAACGGTCAGGAAATTTCCCCGTGTGGCTTCCATTCTCCCACCTGCTGGGCAAGTTAGAGCATGCCCGTCAGGGCAGGAGGGAACGGGTGAGGTCAGCAGCAGGACAGAGTGGACTACCTGAGGTGACCCCCTTCCTCCAGCTCCTCACAACCAAGGTTGAGCAAGTGCGCAGTGTTCTGGAGTTAGGAAAGGCAGTGATTCTGACTAGATCCTAGCGGCCCGCTGGCTGAACGCCCAGTATCCATTCAAATACTTGTGGAGGACAAGAATCCTCACGGGCCGAAGCTATCCAGAGCCGGTAACTAACTCAATTCAGTGAGAAAGGCCTCCAGTCTCTTCTATACATACACTTCAGCAATGCTGACACTGCAGTAACTCAGACAAACCTCTGTTTCCCTCTCTTTTGCCAGTCACTAGATTTTGAAGGGGGGAAACGAATGATTCCGGGGACGGAGGGATAGCCTTTCTTTTTGTAACTAATCTTGGCCCCAGGTTCCTGTCTCTTTTCAAAAGCAGTTCTTTTGTCTAGCACTATTAAAATACCTGCAGTTATCTTAAATTGTTACTCTGTGTCAAACTTTCTCAAAATAAAATAAAATAAAATAAAAGGAATATAACACAGCAAGCATGTGCTAAGCCAGCTATGGGCCAGCGTTTTCCTGGTCTTCATATTTCAGCAAATAAATCCAATGTTTACCTGGTGTTTGTGCCTTTGCGGGAATTTTAAACGATGCCCCGGCTCACACTGCTTCCCACGCTCAGCTGTGGTGATAGTCCCTCCAGGATGGGGTGTTGTTGACAGTGAGAGCTGCCTGGGGATGGTTTTCTTTTTATAACACCCCTAGTGGTAGCTTGGCAGTGGCACCTTACTTCACTGTGTTCTGCTATTTATATCTGGTCCCCACACTCCGCCCTGGAGCCTCTGCTGTTAAGGCTTTAAATCTCCAAGAGGCCTGAGAATCCACAGCAATGCCCCCTGCCACGGAGCATGCTCAGTTCTGAGCCTGGTGATGGACTCCCTTCCCAACACTGACCCATGTCAGAGCTAAGGCTTGACTGTCCTCTATTAGATGATACCATAACAAAGAGGGCTTGTTTGCTAAACATTGTCAACAGTGGTGGCTGTCAGCACTCGCTCAACTAGATAACTATAGTTCAGATACCGTGTATTTCGGGTGTTGGGTTAGACAAACAAAGTACCAAAGAGTGTTCACAATCTAATAAAATAAACCAACGTGTGTATGCACCAAACACATCCCGGAAAGACCTGCTCAGAATGAACGAAATCCAATAGAAGTCTGCCGGGAATGCTGAGGAGGAAGGGAGCTGGGAAGGCCTACATCTAGAACTCTTGAGTAAGGCCCAGGTGCTGGTTAGATTTCTGTCAGCTTGGCACAAGATCCGGTCATCTGAGAGGAGGGAGCCTCAGTTGAGAAAATGCCTGTATAAGATCCCGCTGCAGGCAAACCCGTAGGGCATCTCCTTAATCAGTGATTAATGGGGGAGGGCCCAGCCCATTGTGGGTGATGCCATCCCTGGACTAATGGTCCTGGCTTCTATAGAAAGCAGGCTGAGTAGCCCATGGGGAACAAGCCAATAAGCAGCACCCCTCCATGGACTCTGCATCAGCTCCTGGCTCCAGGTTGCTTCCTGTTTGAGTTCCTGTGGAAAGTCACTTTCTGATGGACTCTTCCTGCAGGTATGAGATGACAGAGACTCTTTCCTCTCAAGTTGCTTTTGGTTCTGGTGTCTATCACAGCATCAGAAACCCCCATGACGGCGCTCAGGGCAAAGCCTACAATGGACGGGCACAACCGTCAGGGACTACAGATAAAAACAACCTTGAGCTCGGTCCTGATTAGGGTTACAGTTCCCGTGAGGAAACACCATGACTAAAAGCGACTTGGGGAGGAAAGGGTTTATTTGGCTTCCACTTCCACAACACACACTGTTCACTGCTGGAAGAAGTCAGGGCAGGAGCCCAACCTGGAGCCAGGAGCCCATGCAGAAGCTACTGGCTTGTTCCTTGTGGCTTGCTCAGCCTGCTTCCTTACAGAACCAGGGCTACCAGCCCAGGGATAGCTGGCTGACCCTTTCCCCACCAATCACTAAATAAGGAAACGCCCTACGGGCTTGCCTACAGCGGGATCTCCCTTCTCTCGGACGACTGTAGCTTGTGCCAAGGTGACAGAACTCTAGCCAGCACAGATATAGACATCCGTGTATGTTTACATCAGGACACGTGACTAGACAGTGACAGTGACTACTCAGAGTATCTCCAAATGGAAAACACTGTGAAATACGTTTATATACGGAAATTTTACGTAGCATTCAAAAATGAATAAACTCTAGCATATATCACTATGTAGGTAAATGTCACAAAATTTGACATGAGAGACAAATATGTACACATTCCATGACTTATATGGAATTCAAAAGTCAGGGGAAACAAGCCTGAAAAGATTGCTCAATGGTTAGGGGTTCTTACAGCTCTTGTGGAGGACCCAGGTTCAAGTCCCAGTACCCACAAGGCAGCTCACAACTGTCTGTAACTCCGGTTCCAGGGGATCTGACACCCTTACACTGACACACAAACAGGTGAGACATCAAGAGGCATAAAATAAAAATGAATCTTTAAAAAATAAATAAAAAACATGTCTCTGTGTGGCAGAAAATCTGCCCACTTCTATGCCAATGCCCCCTGCCCGCAGTATGACTGTGGGTACTGCTGGGCCAACGTGCATCTCCCTGCTTGGGAGAATTTTCACACCACCCTTGTCCCTTCATGTCCTGTTTCCCTGAAGCGGAGTTCAGGGCTAATACAGCCACAAGAGGTGGTGTGGGCAGCAACGAAGGGAAAAGTACTCTGCCTCAAGGTGTACAGCATGCTTTGAAAAACTGCAAGTGAGTCTCAGTTTGCACACGTGTGAGTGTGAGTGTGCATGTGTGTGCACATGGGTAAACGCAGAAAAGCTCGTGTGAGGCTGGGAAAGAGCCTGAGTTCAACACTGGTGGCCATCCTCAATCAATCTCCATTTCATCTTTTTAGAGAGGATACCTCACTGAACCTGGGAATGGTATGGCCAGGCTGGCTGGCCAGTGGCTCCAAGGACTCTGCTGCCTCTGCCTCCCCAGTGCTGGGATTTACCCATGCACAACACCGCTCCTGGGTTCTGTGTGGGTTAGACATCTGAACTTGGTCTTCACACTCACAAACCAAGCGCCTTACATCCACTACCCTCGTTTTTTTAGGGAAGAAATTGGTCACTGGGGCTATGGAGATGGCTCAGCAGTCAAGAGCACTGGCTGCTCTTCCAGAGGACCTGGGTTTGATTCCCATCGCCCACATGGCAGCTGTTGGTGTCTCCAAGGGCCCTGCATACATGTCCTGCACAGACATACATGCAAGCAAAACATCCATACATGTAAAAAAATGAAGAAATTACCAGCATTGTTTATTTATAGGTTTTTTTTTTTTTTTTTTTTTTTTTTTTTTTTTTTTTTTTTTTTTTTTTTTTTTTTTTTT